ACTCTGAAAGGATGTAGAATTGGACTTAGCCAACATTTACATTCAGGCAGGTCTTACACACACACACACACACACACACACACACACACACACACACACACACACGAACTTGTTCAGCCACCTCTCTTTTTAATATTTTTCTTCTAAAGATGTACTTAGAGATGAGACCATTCATAACTGCCCGTCCGCAGACAGTTTAGTGGTATGGTAATTGACACTGAGTCTGTTGAAAGGCAGGGTGGGGTGGGGAGAGAGGGGGGTAGAAAACGCTGCTTTAATAACCTTGGCCTAAAACACATTTTGCTGTATGCCTCAAAGGATTTCAATTAAAAATATCAACCTGTAGAGACATATTTTCTTGGCTTAAACAACAATCCAAAGCATATAAATGTAGTCCAACTATAATGACATATTTATAGGCCAATAAAGCTTACACCACTGCTTTCATACCTCACTTAAAGGAACTCTGAGAGAAACAGTGTTATATAAAATAATTTGATTTTTTTTCAAACTATATAGCCCAAGAAATAAAAAAAATGCAAGTTTGCTATATTTAACTGATAGTATTTATACTTCTAAGTTGCTAAAATTTTTGTAAAATGAAATAATTCTTCATTTGACTACTCCTAACTGCCATACCAAATATGGGTATCGGGTCCACTTTATTACAAAGCTGAGTACTGTAATTCTAAAGACAAAAATAAATAACTAGAGGCTTGTGTAGTGAATGATTCAATCAGTCTGATTCTTCTGGAAGAACAGGTTTTTGTGTTCGTTATGCTTATGAATAACACATTCTTTAACCCTTCTGTTTTTACATAGCTATTTTTCTTCACTTAAAAAAAAAAAAAATCAGTATGAAATGGGCTGAAAGAGTAACCCCTACCCCAGGAAAACCCCAACTGGTGTTGTTGGTTTCATGTGGAACTTTCTTTTCCAGGGACAAAAGGGGGTGGGGCACGATAAATGTGCTACCTCATATCTCAGAAGTGTTTATTGTTTTAATGATTAGTTTTTTCACTATCTGAATCTGTAGTTGTTGTCAGCACTCATTTAGAGTCTTAAATGAAAACTCTAGACGGTTTTAAAAAACAAACAGAACACCCTAAGGGGAGAGGTGATTTAAAGAAAAAAAGAAAAGACAGGGCAGTGACTGCAGCCTGAGTAGCCATTGGGAGCTACCACTGGGCAGTGCTTTTCTGTGTTCAGCATTAATTTGTTGCCAGACACACATTTGTATTACTGTATTTTGTTCTTTTGCTCTCCACAGGGAGACAGGAAATGACACAAACTGGAATGGGAGGGAACTTACTAACAAATGCAAGAGGTGCTCGTTCATTTCATTGGTTTTTATATTGTACAAATCTGTCTTTAAGAGTCAACCTAATTCTTTCGTTATTATTGATGTTTTGAACAGGTTAGGGGAACTGGGCATTAAAAAAAAAATAACACACTGAAAGCTTGACTTTCTCCACAAAAAGGTAAGTTTTCCATTCTTTGCTCACTTCCGGGCTAGCAGGGGGTAGGGTCCTTAAGCTCTCTCAAAGTTCAGCTTTCTTTGATGAGAACAAAGAGAAATGCTCCACAGAAGGAAGGGCCTAGCAAGCTGAGCTTCAAACTAAAGATGTGGTATTGGATGTGGTTTTGGTGTGGCAGAGAGAGGGAGAGACAGAGAGGGAGACACACACACACACACACACACACACACACACACACACACACAGAGAGAGAGAGAGAGAGAGAGAGAAAGAGAGAGAGAGAGAGAGAACACTGAGGTAGAAAGAAAGGCCAGCAAATCTTTTCATGTGACAGCCAGAGAAAGGAAGAGGCTGAGGAGAAAGTACAGGACTGTGCATGGCCAACAACACCAGCTCTAAAAGTCCCCAGTTGAAATCCCAACAATGCGGACTCACAAATTTCAGATCCAAGAGATAATGGAAACTCGTTACATTAAGGAAAGTTTGTGTTTCTCTTTGCACGTTATTACAACACACTGTGCATTCCAATTACGAAAGCTATTTGTCTCGAATTCCCCACAGTTCATACCAGCCCAGTAGAATTTCAAGGCCCTAAATTCTGTCCTTAAAGGGGTACTTCAAACTTACAAAAATAAGAGGTATGTTGTCTTTCTTGTCCCCTAGAGGTCTGTCAATCAAGCTTCCTGTTGAAGCTTCCCTTCCCAAGCAATAATCTCAGAAATGGGTCCCAAATCTGTCTCTCTGTCTGTTTCTGTCTCTCTCTCACACACATGCACACAACCCAAATCATCTAGGAGTCCAGACAATTCTAAGGCAGCCAGGCAACCATTAACCAGGTTCTCCTTAGTAAATCTAAAATGCAATTGAATCCCAAAGCCACTGGTCTACATTTTCAAGACCAAACCTCTAACAAGTGCTTTGAATAGTTAGACAAACTCATTTCTGCTGGAACCAGTTGAGAGGTCTGGTAGGGGTAGGATGGAGTGTAGGAGGGGGAAAGAGATTATAGACAGTTTTTTCTTTTTGAATCCAAGATTCTCAAATTCTATTCAGATAGAATTAAGAAATTGGGCTTCTTTTTGTGTTCATTAATAAACTATCCCTTTGAAACACAAAACAACTCTGCTATAAATAATCTTGTTTACATGTGTGACATTAAGCTTAACCATCTACATAGCCTTTTGTCTCCCATGGGTTTCCTGTTTAATGTTTTATTAGTAACACTATACTCCATAACTCAAGTTTTTAAAAAAGAATTGAAGGGTTTGATGTTGAGAAAAAAAATAAAACAAAACCAAAACAAGATAATGGAGGTGCAATTGAGATTAAGATGGTAATACAGCAGATTCATTACTATTCAACATTCTTACACATCATAAAGGTAGTTAGGCTGTATTGGTGAGACTGGGGCTGTTAGCAGTAAATATGTAAAGTTGATTTTTAAAAATTCCTTGGCTTAGAAGAAAGAATGCTAGCTTAATAATTTTTCTCTAATTGTGTGCGTGGCAATTTGGTTGTGTGTCTATAATTTTGCCATCCGGTGTCTATCAAAAAGCTGCTGGGAGCAGTTGATACTAAAGCATGGTCTTAACAATATTGCTCAAACAGCACAGCTTACCACAAACCAGGATCACATGAAAGAGAGTCAAGAGAGTCAGTTCCCTGCTGCAAGTCAGTCTCTCTATGTCAGTTAAAAGAAATCGTCAAGGTTTCTTGTAAAAGTTAAGTTCTAGGTTAAAAAAAAAAAAAAAAAAAAAAAAAAAGAAACAAGGAAGTTGTCACATTAGGGCATAAACCAGGCCATGAAAATCAGCATTGTGCTAGAATGAAAGAAAAAGACATCTCAATATGTTAAAAATGAAGTTCCTCTTTGTGTAAAGAGGAAATAACTATTCTAAAACAGAGGTCAGTAGCTTTGGTCTTGAGTAACACAAGAAGAGTAAGGCAGTGATGGCCACTGAGGATACAGATAAGTCAAGACAAAGAGTGGACATAATCTCATAGTCACGGGAGGAGTGATCGCTGAGACAGGAGAATTCCTTCATCATGTGAGACTTTTCATGTCCCTGTTTTTCATATGAGAGGACAGTAGGTTCCACCTTACCATATTTACCTAAGGCCACACAGCCAAGGGGCAGAGTCAATGTTCAGATATGGCCAGGACACTCCAAAGCTGGAGAGAGAATCTTGCTAAAGTCCAGACCTCCTTTGTGGAAGACAAAGATGAGGGATGGAACACATTGCTGATGGAGGAAAGTTCAAGGACATGTAGCCCAGCAGTTTCTAGCTTGTTCTATTGCCCCACAGTAAATGAATCACCAATTTGTCTCATGCTGCCTCTTCATAGCTGAAATTCTGACTTGGTATTCCTCTTGTTATAATATCCACCTGTAGCACATATTTAGTCTCTATTAATTCAATATTAGCCCTAATTAAGCCTTAGATTTTGATGGCACATAAAATGTTATTTGGGGCCACATAGTATGTCACCCAATAAGAGGCTTTACATAAAGGAGACCCTATAATGCAACAGACCATATTTATTCCTTCCTGCCCAGGAATTTCCCAATTCACAGTCTTGGGCCCCATTAAAGTAAAGCAATTTTATACATATGTATAATATACCTATATATAACTTCTACAAAATTATATATTATAATGTTATATGATATACAGTTTTATAAGATATAATTCTTTGTGTGTTTATTTATAGGTACACATTGTGTTTCACTCTGTATGTGCATGTGTCTGCCTTGGAGGTCAGAAGACAAGACAATATCCCATATTGTGCATTTCAGAAGTCATCATCTTGGCTTCTTCTTCCTCTTTGTTTTTTTTTTTTTTTTTTTTTTTTTTTTGAGACAGGGTCATTCCTTGGCCTGGAACTCATCTATGTGCTTAGTCAGAGTGGCCCCAGGGAGCTCCTGTCTCTAATTCCCCAGTGCTGGGATTACACGTATGAAGCATTGTGCCTGGCTTTGTAATACGGGTCCTGGAGATCATACTCAGGTCCTCATGTTTATAAGGCAAGCATTTTCCTATCTGGACATCTCTCTAACCCCTAATATATAATTTATAATAATCTATAATATTTTAAAGATTCTTTTTTATTATTTCTAAGTGTGTGTGTTTGTGTGTGTGTGTGTGTGTGTGTGTGTATGTATGTATGAGTATGCAAGTATACACATGTGTGATACATGCACATGGGTTCAGGTATCTTCAGAGACCAGAGGCATCTGACCCCCCTGAAGCTGAAGTTTCAGAGGGGTGTAAGCTGCCCAGTATAGGTGCTGGGAACCGAAATGACATGGACCAAAAGAGCAGTATGGTTCTTAACCAACACTGAGCTGTCTCTCCAGACCCATAATATATAATTATGTTCTATAATTCTCATATAGCATATAGTTCTCACATATTTAGTTCTTATGCCATTTCATGTAAACATGTGCATAATAAGGTTTCCAGAACAGTCAACATTGCACATTCCTACACATTGAATTTAGAGGCAGGAGCTGTACTTACCAAGATCAGCCTTCTCCTTGAGAACGTCTTTGAAGTTGAGCCCACTGTTGAGGGTTGACTGCCTGTACCTGAGGAGAGCCTCCTTCTGTCCATTTCTCCCGAAAGCCTCTGTTTTCACTGGTGTGGCTCGGAGCCCACACCTCCACTTGGAGAAATCAGAATGTGCCCATTTGACCAGGTCTTCTAATTTTACAATCACCTTTTCAGAGACGGCAATGACCTCATCCTACAAGAGGTGGGATAAACAGAGTATGTTAGTCTGGGTTTAGGAAAGTGATCCATTCTCAGCAAAGCCCACCTGGATGCCAGGGACAGTCTAACCTTCAGCAAGTGGTCTAGCCTTGGAGAAGCAGACAATATGTGGCTTTTAGGACAAGAAGAGTACCATGGAATCATTTCAGCTCACTGGCTTCCCAGGTCTCTTTATTTAAAGAATAATTTATATGACATGTTCGCTATGAGTTAGGAGGTCTCCAAAAATAGGACAGTAATTGTAACAGGCATTTTAAATGCCAGTCACCGAGCCCATCTACCTATCTAATTCCTTGAGTGAAAGCTAATTTTTAGGTGCAATTAATTGCAAATGTAAAAAGCGAGGCTGGATGACTAATGGTTAGTCTTCATATAAATGGCCTAAGTAAATCTAGAATTCTTGGAACTCTGACTCACCCCCAAATTCCTATGTTTATGGTACATTTTCCCTTGGCTTATACACAAATATTGAATTTAACTTTTGTCCTAAAAATTAAATAAAACTGTGATGTAATCCCCAAAGAAATACTTCATAAATGTTATGTGCTTCCCACTGAAAGCAACTTACACATTCTCGAGTTTCTGCAAAACTTTGCAAGCTGAGAAATGAGTGGACTTTTTCTCTTTTAATACGTGTGGGGGAGGGGCATGAGGTCGGTGAGAAAGCCTTTGAATCTAAGAAAAGTCGTTGAAGCTTCAGTTCCTCCCAAGGATCATAAATTTGAATTTTAAGCATCTCTAATTGCTTCCAGGAAACAAGTTTTCTGCCTCAGAATTAACCCAGCAGGATATTTAGTAGGTATCTATATGAAGAACAAAGAGGGGCCCAGAGACCCCTGGAAAAGGCTATAGATACCCTCCTTTCCCTGCTTCTAAAGGAACTTATTGGAAGCATTTGACATTTTAACGTGAACTGACTTTCTCTGACTGAACGTTTCTCAAGAAAGCATAGCTGTGAAAAACCCCTAAAGCTTACAGAAATTGTCAAACTAGTTCTGACAAAACAACAACAGGAAGTTGTCTCTAAGCTATTAGACAAAAAGGAATTTACAACAGAACTTGCCTAATTTTGCTCTTGAATACAACTCTCTCTTCCCTACCCTGCCAACACACATACAAACACACACCCCACACCACCCATACACTCCACACACCACCTACACACACACACACACATCACACACACACTACACACAAACACCATACATACCACAAACACACACACCATACATACTCCACACACCATACACACACTACAATAATACATACAGATACACTCCACACACCACACATGCATACCACACATACATTGCACACACATTGCACACCACACACACACACACACACACACACTCTACACACACACCCCTCCCCCTCCCCACACTGTTCCAACTGAAACAAAAAGGGTTTTAAGATAATGTTTACACAGTAGAGAGCACTCAGTTTTGTTCTTTTAAATGTTTTAAGGTAAGAGGTAAATTTTGCTTTTCCTTATCCGGTTCATGACTGCTTCTGAGAAAAAGAAGTTTATTAAAAAGAGCAGTCACAAGGGCTCTCTTAAGAATGGAAAACAAGACTGAGTAACGGGATCCCTTCTCTTATCTTGATCAAATATGAACTTCCAGTAAAGGCAGACAAAGTGGAAATTGTGTTTTACCCTCTTCTCAAGAAAATACCTCAAGACTTTATAAACTGTGGAGCACATTAGCTATTTGAAGGACTGATTTCATCCACAATCATCACACCAGCTTCTTGAAATAGAACATCTCTGCTCATCCTGCATTTTATAGCTATTATATGATGATTATGAAATGTCAGAATTTAAAAAAAATCCAGGTTGGGTATTGTTTCAAAGCATATGGGAACAACTTCTGGGACAGAGAGGGGGTGGGTACCACAGCCATAGCATTCAGAATATTCTGGAAAATAATTAAGTAGCATGGTATATTAGTCTCCACATTACCACAGATGGAATTTGGCAATGTTTTGACCAAATAAGGCTTCCTCGAATAGACAAGTTTGCAGATGAGTGTTATTCTCAAATAGCCCTGTGATCAAATGATTATCATTTCAATTACCAGTTGCTTCAGATCTTTTCCGAGAAATGACATGACTAGCCCTGGCTGACTTTCAGCACCCGCCGAACAAATAGTTTATTAACCAAGAGAAAATACAATCCTTATGATGTCATTAATGAATAAACTTGTCTTTCAAGATCTTCTCTATAGATTTGACCTCAACTTTCTCTCCCTCTCTCTCTCTCTCTCTCCCTCCCCTCCCTCCCTCCCTCTCTCTCTCTCTCTCTCTGTCTCACACACACACACACACACACACACACACACACACGAGAGAGAGAGAGAGAGAGAGAGAGAGAAAATAAAAAACCCAAGTTGGGATTTTGAACACAGCTGTATGCTTTATGTAGATTCAGAGACACTATCTCTTCACTATTGTTAAATGCCAGGGTTTTAAAGGAAATCTGATAAGAACAGGAAATAGCACACAACCTCTTAAACAAAATAGCCCACATGTACATGGAAACTATATCAGGAAACCTTGCTCTGTGCACACAATGGTATCTGTCACATGCCCATACTCAATATTCTGAGTCAGTGCTGACTAACTTTCTCATAGTGCCCTTCTTGGGCAAGTCTCTGTGTCTACGAAAAGAATCCCAATAAGCACATGCCATGATTACATGAGCTCTCAGCAAACTGAGCATTAGTGCTGAATAAATATCCCTGCTTTACTCTAATACAACACAAAAGGATCACAAAGAAATACACGTCGTTATCCTATTAACGGACCCTGACTTTTCAATTAACCTAGCTTTTAATCAATATTTATGTAGGACATGTTAAGACACTCACTACTTCCTTCTCCCCTTCATCGTTATTTTAAACTATTTCTGTAATTGGGATTTTATTTCTGTTACTCTACAAAACCAGTTCATTTAGGCATGAACTCTCTAAGTCAGGAGAGAGGATCGATCGGGTGGGTGAGGAGTCACAGAGCAGCCCACCCGATGCCAAGGCTGGCCCCTCCACATATTATAAACTTAGGAAAATCTACACCCGAAAAATCTAGACTTCAATCTTTTCTTCTAAAATAAAATAAGGAAGGAGATGAAAAAAAAAAAAAAAAAAAAGGAACAAGCCAACCAAAATCAACAACAGAAACTATCAGAATATCAGAAACTGAACAACACATGCTTTCTTTTTACAACATGTGAAATCCCCTGTAGGCTCTGACTTCCATCCAGTTGTGGTCCCCTGACCTGTTCTGCCTAACCCAGATACCAGCTATTTCAGTGGACACATATTGATGTGACCCATCTCCTCCATGTACCCGATGAGGGCCCTGAAGGTTAGTGACTCATCATTGTGAATTCTTACCCCAGGGCCTGGATGGTAACCCAGATTTCCTCTCTGGTGACTGTAGCCAAGGGGCCTAGGTTCAAATCCCAACCCTGGAATTTGTTGCTAGGAAACACTGAGCCACTTCTTTAACCTTCTAGGGCTTCAATTATTTTGATATTTTCTTTTAAAGGAGTATAGCAGCTACCTGCCACAGTCATTGCCAGAATTCAAGGGGTTGACACAAAGTTTATTAGCCTTAGTCATGTGCTACTATTATTTCTACCATTGTGTCTTCTGGACTGTGGTGCACATAGATGAATTTAGATGATTCATAGGAAAACACACACACACGCACGCACATACACATACACGAACAATACATTTGAAATAATGATGAAAGGGTATCTTAATGTGTCTCACATAAGCATTGATTAAATGCTGGGTAATTTCAAAACCAAGGTGTGTGTGTGTGTGTGTGTGTGTGTGTGTGTGTGTGTGTGTCTATAAACATATAATTAAGCAAGGAGTAATGTATTCTATATATCATATCACATAATTCCTTGTTTAATTATTTTGTGCTTATTTTAATTACTAGAAATTGATACTTTTTTCCTAGTTGTGTGAAATATAGAAAGATTTTTTCATTAAATAAATTTAATTTTAAAAAAGGATCAATTTGAACACAGTCATGAACCCAACACAGGGGATATGTGGACATAGGAAGAAAGGATGGGATACTAAAATATGGTATAGTGCATTAACTGAGGTTCTCAAAGGACAGCCCAGGAGCCCTTGGGAATCCCTGGCCACTTCAGGGGATCCACGGGGTCCAATGTAAAGTCACAATCACATGAGTCATTGTTGGGTTTTCTCTCTCATTCTCCTTCAAGAGCATTGATAGATTTCCTGAGCCTGCAGCACATGGCAGGTACCACATCTGAGTGGTACAGAGTAGGTAGGATATCTACCAGTATGAAGCTAGATGGTAAAGAAATTAACAAAAACTATAGGACAGGGTAATTGTTCTCATTAAACCTGTAGTTATTTAGACTATATTTCATCATACATGACTGCCATGAAAATGTTACATGTTCACAAACTTCTCCAGGCTCTTATAGTCACCATCATTATAATTAACAGAGAAGAAAAACACCCAGCTTAGAAAGCCCCTCCTCTTTCGTGGTCATTATACTTTGTCTAACCACCTTCTGGTAACCACTAAATTAAGTAGCATACACATTGAACCATGCCATATGACACCTTCTGTGATGGCTCTTCTCACAAAGCATGGTGCCTTGTGAGCCATCAGTGTCCTTACATGAAAAGACACTTTGAATCTCTGGTGAATAGTGTCCACTGGATGGACAACCACAAAGTTTTGTTCAACTGTTCATGGATGGAGGGACATCTGGGATGTTCCAATTTGAATAATTTACAAATAGAACTCTTATACTCTCCCATTCCTAGGTCTTTGTGTAAGCACACATTCTAAGTTCTCTAAACATCTGGGTATATCCAGTGTTGGAGCAACTGCCCATGTGTTTTCTGGGATCACTCTACCATTTTGCATTTCCACAAGTAGTGACTCCTATCCATGCCATCACTTGACGCTGTC